CTTTTATATATGAATCTAATGGTATATGTGATGACTGCAAAAATGCTAAACCTCATCTTGTCAACAGCATTGTCCTGGAAACAATACATATGGCTCGAAATGCTCATTGAAGCTTTTTGAAACAAAATTCCCTTTGTGGGAACCATGGTATACTGGTACTAGCCAGTAATATTGTACCATATAGGCAAATCAACGATCACGAAAAACCAGAAAATCAATATGATAATACCTTTTCATTCAATATCTGGCATTCTATCTATTTCTATCTATCTATATCTGATAGGATATAGATTAAAGTACATTTTATTGCTCTCCAGGAAAAAGTTATCCGTTCGTCCAAATTGGTATCGCCTACGACCTCGTTACCCGGTGGACTCATTATTCAGGCAAATTGGCTGGTTTCACCTCAACTTTTCCACCCCCCCCCCCTTAGCACAAATATGATCTATTTACGGCTATATTACGCCTTTTTTACAGACCACAAACGCACATAACACACATTAACCGGACGGCGCATACGCGCGGTTTGCGTCGCACGAACGCCGTGCGCGTGTAATAATAGCCCGCGTAATTCACATTTTGGTTGCCTCGGGGGGGGGGGGTGAAAAGTTCTCGCGTGAAATCGGTTCATTTGGCTGGAAAACCTTTCCGTGCCACTTGATGCCGCTGGAGATACTAATCAGTAAGAAGTAGAGCAAGGAAAACGAAAAAGGCGAGTATTATATATTTAATATATCAGTGATATATATATATATATATCATTATAATTTATATTTATATTACATATATTTATTATATTATATATATATATTACATATACGTATTATATAGCGCCGAGAAAGGAGAAAAATTGCGAGGAGTGTTGCGCTGTGTGTGTGTGTGAGATGAAGACAAGAGAGTAGAGCAAGAAGAGAGCGAGAGAGGATGAGGAGGAGACGAGAGAGAGAGAGAAGAGAGGTTTGAGAGCACGGGCAGGGGAGAGGGTGGAGCGGAAGCCGAGAGAAGGACTATATTAGAAGGAACTATGTGTATACTGTGCCTGTGTTTATTATGTGTGCGTTTGTGCCGTACGTGCGTTTGTCTGCGCAGCGTGTGCACATCTCCGTCTGCATTCTTCCCTCCCTCCGTCCCTCTCCCTTTCTGTCCTCTTTCATTCCTCTTCCCCTCTCACTCTCTTCCCCTCAGTATTTCCCTCCCCCTCTCGCGGATAGTATCGCCCACGGCATCAGTTGCACGATGAAAAGTTAGCCAGGCAAATGGCTGGTTTTCAGCCTCAACTTTTTCAGCCCACACAGCACAAAATGTGCATATACGGCTATAATACGCGTGTTTACAGTCACACAAACACACATACACACACACTAACGGACGCGCACACGCGGGTATGGTCGCCCGCACGCGTGCGCGTGTATTATAGGCGTAAATCCACATTTTGTGCCTCGCGGAGTGAAAAAGTTTCAGCTGAAATACGGCCATTTACCTGAAAAAGTTTTTCCATGCTTGACTGGTCGTGAGCGATACCATCCGCGAGAGGGGAGTAAAGAAGTGAGGAAGAAGGAACGGAGAGACAGAGAAGGAAAATGTGCATCCGTGCCTGTGTGTGTGCCGTTTATACCGTACGTGCGTGTGACTGCGCATGCGTATGCACATCTCCGTATGCATTCGTCCCTCCCTCCGTCCTCTCCTCTTTCCCTTCTTTTTCTTTTCCCCTCTCACTCCGTTCCCCTCAGTATTTCCCTCCCCCTCTCGCGGATAGTATTGCTCACGGCATCAGGTGTATGGTGAAAAGTTAGCAAGCCAAATGGCCGGGTTTCAGCCTCAACTCCCCCCCCCAAGCACAAAATATGATCATACGGCTATAATCCGCGGACGCGCACACGCGGGTGTGCTCTCACGCACGCGTGCCCGTGTGTCAATTCACATTTTGTGCCTCGCGGGGTGAAAAAGTTTCAGCTGAAATGCGGCCATTTACCTGAAAAAGTTTTTCCATGCTTGACTGGTCGTGGGCGATACCATCCGCGAGAGGGGAGTAAGGAGTGAGTGATTACTTTTATTCACTGTTAATGTTACTGCCTGACACAGCAGATGAAAGGTCAGCATAAAGAACCGGCAATTGTTCATTATTATTATTTATTCTTCATTGTATGTAATTCAACCAAAAATATACATGTACTGAAGACAGTCTTTTTCACGGATAAAAAATCTGATGAATGCAGTGTTGAGCAGTTAAAATAATAACATTTATGAGTGATACAGTACATTGTGTGATACATAGTTCTGAGTGATAAATGTTACATTAAAGCTTTACATATTGTTACAGGACTGTGACATGAATCTACGTGAATGACAATATGAAACGACTATCGTGTACGTCGGTAATCGGCGAGCTATACCCGTTGTTTAATCTGCACTCGGCACTTGTGTAAAACAACTATATTGACTTCATATACGAATCTAAGGTATATATGATGACTCTAATACCCCGTACATGCAGACTCTAATACCCCGTACATGCAGACTCTAATACCCCGTACATGCAGACTCTAATACCCCGTACATGCAGACTGCAAATTTAATATGGTATTAAACTGGTGCGGGTCAGGCGCGCGCTAAATTTTTGCGCTGTGTACACGCTATCCCGTCCCAAACACGTGCTGGCCCGCACCAATTTGGCCCTGCACATGAAGGAGCGCCTGGCCCGGGATAAGTTATCCCCGGATAAGTTATCCCGCACGAAGCTGAGTCTGTACGCAACACGCAGGCCAGACCGGGTGCTGAATCGCAATGTGCATAGCCTTATTTATGTCACGTAATTGTGCAATTGATGTCTGCGGGGTGACGTGGCGAGCTGAACTGAGAACTGATGACTCATTTAATGTAGGATCAAATATGCAGTCTGCACGTTACGATTTGGCGCGCGTCAGGCCCGGGCCTGGCGCGTGCTAGTTTAATACCCATATAAAATGTTGCAGTCTGTACGGGGTATAAAAGGCTAAAGCTACTTGTCACAGATTGCCCTGGAAAAAAAACATGCCCTTAAAATATGTCATTGAAAAGTCCGTGAAAAAATAATTCCCACTTTTGTGGGGACCATGAAACATGTCTTTTTACAGGTAATTTTGATCAACAAAGCCAGATATTGGCATAGGGGAATGTGACAAGGGGAAGTACATGATAATAAAAGTTTAACTAAATATTAGACGATTTTGAATATCGACAGATTGGTATAGAAGGGGAATTAAATAATACAAGG